AGTGGAAAAAAAGAAATCAACGAAATTGAAGTTAACAGAAAGCTAAGAAATATATCAGACAAGAATAGATAGCGCATATGAGAAATATGAAACAATTAATTTATAACAAATTTTTTGATTTATTGCGTAAAACAAAAAACTAAATCGCATTTCATCAAGTAGATATTACTTTCTATTACAAATGTCATTAGACTACAAAAATAGTAAACTTTAATAAAGAACTATTAATCAAAGTAAAACATTATATTGTACTCAATATTGGTACTAGAGTACAAGATTCAATAGTTGAGTAAAGTGTTTTTTTTTGCTTGTACTGGTTCAATCACTGATTTATGATTCAACTACAATCATCTGAATTAATCGATTAAAATAATCCATGTTGTTGATTTTCTATCCGAAAGATAAACATATTCAGACTTCGTAGCAAACTTTTCAATTATAGGAAATTTTGTCCTAGAAAAGAGGAATTTGCTACCAAGCCTGAACATATCGTTCTTTTTTTGAAACTGATCAAGATTATGGGTCTATATATATATTAAAAGTAATACTTCAAGACAATGTTATTAACTGTTATTCTTATAAATATTAACTATAAGCAATTTATTCGATTGAAATACGATGGAAATATTCGAGCTTTTAGGTCACTTTGAGTACATATATATATATATGTTTATTATTCGTTCTATGAGCATACACAATTTTGAAAATACTAATTCTTATGAACTGCATTCAGAATGATCCAGATCATCACGAAAACTGAAGAACTACAATAACAAAAAAATATATTGATCATACTCATATTGATGTATTAAAAATTTAGAAAAAAACAATTTGCTACCGTAACAGTAACGAAAAAAAAATGCTTTCTCCCTCACCTTTTTTTGCTTGACTATCAGCATGTCAATCTAATGATAAACATAATGTATTGCTTATCAGACGAAAATTTGATTACTAATATTAATTAGACATAGGCAAAGATGAAATACAAAACGATTTTTTGCTATCAATTGTATAAAAAGTGTAAATATTTTTAATAACAATTTTTCTCGATGAAAAATATTAATTAAAAAAGTTTATATCTAATTTTTGTTATCGATGGTGTCATGCGTAACGTAAGGTCTATAATTATGTGTCAATCGATAACTAATGAAGCATCAGGACAATTATAAGAAAGACCTTGCACCTAGTCTCTGGTTGCCAACAATGTTGTTAATTGTAGTGGTAGGACTATAATGTCGTTATTTGAATGTTATATAACTCATTACTAAATATGTTCTGCAGATGAGTTAGATTAACTCTATCATATTAATGTAAGTGAATAGTTAGAAAATAATTTTACCAAGTCTATTATTTTGTTATAAAATGAAATTATTTATACAAACGAAAAGTTAAGTAATAGTAATATACCTATAAGGTATATGAAGATTGTTATTTCTTCACAGTTTCATTTTGTGTTTGACATTGAAAGAATAAGTTAAATACGATAATTACTGGTAAGAACTTTGAGTAATGATTAAATATTGATAATCGTATTTCTTCATAGAAAAGAAGATTTTTTTTTTAGTAAACCTAATCATCTAGAATTTTACAATTATTATTATTATTCTTTTGTGGTTCAACAAATGTTTCAATATTTGATAGTTATTTCAAAGAATTAAAATCATTACATCATTTTTGTTTCATAATTTCGATTATTTTGTAAAAGATAAATCAGTAAATTAATTTCATTAGTTTTACATTTACAATATTCAATTTCAATCGTTTTTTAAATAATTAAAAATTCGTTATCCTTTTTGTTTTTTCAAAGAAAAAGAATTTTTAATGAATAACTTTGCTGTGAAAAATATCAAAGTGTCATGATTTTCTTTTAAAAATAAATGATGAAAATAATTAATTTAAATCTTATCTGCAAAATTTGTTCTTAGACATAACACTTTCCTAACAAACTGAATATCTTAGAGCAGCGACTATGTCGTGTACTGTCAATAATTTTCATTCATGAATTTAAAAAACTTGAAGTTCATTTCGCGTGATCATTTTTTTTCGTATGTTTTTATTCATTCAGGTGTCCTCTAGAAATAGTAAAGGGATTTTCTATTTAAAATGAAACTTAAGTAGGATTCAATCGAATGTTATATCTTATTTTTAATCGAACAATATGTTTGGATTAAGCTGCATGAAATGAAACAAGTTTGCTTTTTTTTTATCCTTCAATAGTTAATGTAAAGATTAAATTTAGATGTCTACATTTAGTTGACTGTTGTTTTGAAAAAGGTGTCTTCTTAAAGAAACGATAATGAATATAGAAAGTCTATTCTTGTGTAAAGTATTCGCTAATCAGAAAGCAGTTTTCTCAATAAAATTCTTGAATAATCATTTGAAAAAAAAACAACAATTTTTTTTGTTGTTTATCAGTACAAATTAGAATTGTCTATTTTACAAACACACTCTTCTAAACGATTACTAAATGAACAGAGCTATAGGATGTGGTTATTTTATACCAAACATTACAGTTGTATTATAGACAATTTCGAAATTTGTATGAGAACCAAGAGCGCAGCTATTCTTTCCTTTTGCTGTTGTAGTTATCTTCATCTTTATATGTTTTCAGATTACAAGAATATAAATTTCATGTTTAATCTTCATCATACTCTTGTGAAAGTATTGTTCTTTTGTACTGAACAAGCAAATAAGATCCAAAATCGACAATTCATTACAATTTCAAAGCGTAATAAAGCCTGTTGAAAGAAGATCTATCACATGATCGATAAAAGTGATATTAACTTGTTCAGGATTGTAATAGTAATTGATCATTACACTTCATTTATTTTCTCTTTCTCTTCTTTTAGATGATTAATATATAACGTGTGTTTCTAGTGATATAGATATAACTAGAATGATGCAGTAGCTCAGTAGTAGAGAGCTGCGGGTCCTTCCAGACCCGGGTCCGGGTCTGAAAATTTAGCTTTTACCGGGCCCGGGTCCGGGTCTAAACCTAAGAGGAAAGTCAGACCCGGTCTGCATTAAGTTATGAATGAAAACATATAACAATAACAATTGAAGTTAACAAAATTGAAAAAGAAACAGTCAGAAATAATTCTACACTCATTTGACCTTTAAAGTCTCCAATGAAGAGCTAAAATTGTGTTCCCTTTTCTGTTCATGTACATATAGGGTGTCAAATATTGGTGAAAAGAGGATCGGGTCTAGACCCGTCTGGGTCTGGACTCAGCCGGGTCCGGGTCCAAAAAAACATGGACCCGCAGCTCTCTACTCAGTAGAGATCATGGTCAAGAGTGATCACAATGCTACTCCTCCAGTTCGTTACAATGATTATATTGTATACGATACATTGTTATTAACAGATTAGACTTTAGAATCGAACCATTTGTCAATGATCGGATCCGACCTCGTCTCTATTCCATTAGGAGGATTCTATTTGTCATGTCCAGCTCGAACTATCACTCATTATAATTATACTTTTTCAACAAGTAGAGTCTCTATACAGTAGAACTTAATAATGACTTCTATAATTCATTAGAATATTGTAAAAAGTTTATCATCATAGTGATCATGAGTTTAATCAGGTCAAGCGATTCTAATGCTTGTAAAAATAATATCAAACATAAGACGAATTTTGTTATTGAATGACAAAAGTAAAATATTCTCATCAGTATTTTGATTTCATGAAGATTATCATACATCAACAGGAATCTCATAAGAGTTTATTGATTACTGAATAGATTCGAATAGTCATTGAAATTACTACTTGTAGTTCAAACAGTTAAGTTTAGTCTTCTTTTGATACTTTTCACTTCAATGACATTTATATTGTTTACCAAACATAATAGAGACGGAAAAGAAATTATTTTAATCTCGCCGACTGTAAAACACGTTCTTATTGAGTTTTAATTTAGGAACTCCAAACTTTAATTATTATTTTTTTTTGTGTACTTCTCAGCTCCGCCAATGATAACTGTAACGCTACATCAACATTTGACATCCATACACACTTCAACATATGATATTAATTCATGTTCGCCTATGTAAGAATTACAATGGTGATAAAATAGATAAAAATCAATTTTTATTTTTATTTTTATTGAAGCTAATTTAAGTCTGCTTTTAGCTTAAAATAAAAATTTCATTGGATTTTAATCGATAAGAAAATAAAATAATCTAATTAAAGTTACATTAAAATTATGCTATTTTAATAGACTTCCGATGAGAAAAAAATTGATAAAAGTCATACTTTGTTCTTTTATTTTATATGTATACTGCAATTGTCATTTCACTTAACCTTGTACGAGTGAAGAAAATCATCCAGTTAAAGAAACACTTCCTAGGACGATCATTCTAACTATCGGTACTACTGTCTTGAGCAGAATGAAACGAGTAGAGAACGGCGTATTATTGCATTAGTTTTTTGGCAAAATCTATGAATCCACTTTACGGAGTAATTTTCTGCTAGCAAACAATCATTGTTTCCTCTATTACTTGTACTGTTTTATGAGTTTATGCATAACACCGATGTAATAAGACCAGATTTGAGCATTTTATATCGTTAATGGTGGTTCTTTCTTTGAGCTGGGCTCGTTTTCATTTATCACGTAAATAAAACTTAAAGAACATTCACATAGTACAGTTTTCTAGTCTTTATTAGTTGCAAGATACATAAATCTTCTTTTACAAAACGGTTAAAGCTCAGATCATGCTGTCCACGCAAAAAGTATCTTTAGTTCTAATCGAATGCCTCATTTTGAGATCTGCTATGGATATATACCTACTGCCTATTCGTTATGCTCACTCATAAACAACTTATTTGTTCTATTAGAAAACCTTGCTATAGAACGAAAAATTGTAGCTAATTGATGGAATCCATAGAGTCCATAATAGTTTCAGTAATTTAAGTAAAATTATTCCAACGATTTACTAGCAAATCCTTCCACAGCTATCACGTATTACCCTGTCTCTGTTTTTTTTAGAAGAATAAAAATATCATGGATCATAATCTTAGATCAGGTGAAACCTTATCTGCTGACCATCATTCTTCTTTAAAAAGGCGTAATAATGAAGAACTAGCATCTGAAGAAACCACTATCAGCAATTCTTCTCGTGACTATGACAATCAAATGGAGTTTGGAATAATTCAGTATATCTTATTATCTTTAAACTTTTTTTATTATAATTCATATATTACTTTCATTAGGGAAACATCGTACTCATTGAGAGATCATCCTCGTAAAGCAGTATGTGCATTTGCCTTGTTTACAATCATAGCAATGACTATTGGCATAATTACAGTTTGTCTTGGTCTTCCAAAAGAAACAGGTATAGTTTAATTTGTTGTCCTAGTTTCCTAATACTTAAACTATTTTCCAAATATGATAAGATCAATTCAGACTGAAATGTTAAACATTTGATGCTAAAAAGCTACAAAACAAAATAAAATAATGTAGTAGGATTCGATGGCGCGAAAAAGTACTCGCCATCGAAGCTCGACCGTGGTTTCATTAATCTAAAGGAGAAAAAAACAATTTCGGTTCACTTCCGAAAATACCGCGTGAAACTAAAACCATTAAATCATCAAATAGATGTGAAAGTTTTAAATCTATTTTGAAAAGTTTTCATTATTGAATTGTTGAGATTAAAGATACCACATATGTCAGTATTGAAACAAAACAATATTCTATATATATATATTGAATTCTTTAATCTTAAGTATTGTAAATAAAGATTTCTTGACATAGATTTAAGAATTTTTATATCTGTCTGATGATTTTACAATCCAATTCCTTTAATACTTCCAGAGTGTTTTCTTCTACGTTTTCGGTTCTGGTTCGAAGAAATTCGAAAATATCGATTCCAGTTCG